GCTATTGTTTTCGTTTATTTGAAATATTGTGTATTTACAATCATTTCTCTTCTTTGCCAAGCTCATTCTTTTTATCCAAGTCTGAGATTATGATGCTCGTCTCATTCAACTTCGTGGCAGACCGAATCCGACCCTATTTCCCTCCGCTGGAAGTGTCATTTTCCCGTTACCAGGTGAGCAGTCTCCTCGAAACACAGTTATAGAAAACGGTCAGAGGTATATGTGTACAGTATATATTATATATATTATATTAATAGCCAGCCCCAAAAGCATACCTTGAAAGAGAAATTAAGGCAACTAGTTCTATTCATCCTACGGATATCGAATGGGAAAACGAAGAGAAATATAGAAAGATAGGGAAGTATAAGTAGAAAAGAAGAGATAGAAACATGCCTAAAAGGAAATAAAATATGTATGTTCATATGTCTTATGTTTGAGCATTTCATAAACAATATCATGAAGTTAGTTTATCATTTTATTGTGCTCACGCTAACAACATAAAAGACATCAGAGCGAAATGCTTTTACACCCGTACACCTCAACGAAGGCGGGAAACAAGGCAAGATTTGCTCTTTCTCCTCAAGTAGTGTCCGCGTTTCTAGACTCTTCCATCATTTTATATACGTAATAAAAATAAAGACAGAATTCTTGAAATCAGTATCTTCATATCATACAATTATAGGCTCGTATATAATTTTTCATTGTAGTTTTATTTTTTGATAATGTACAGGGTAATATAATATCAGCAGAGATGCAGAAATCTTGCAGAGGACAGTGTAGAGTATCATGGCATCAATCAAAGACGGCATGGCAATCTGCAGAGAAGAAAAGGTTTATTTTTAGGTGTGAATGTCTATTAATCTTTTTTTTCTTCTTCTTCATGACAAATGGCGCATTGTTTTAGTATATGTTTGTAGGATGGGAAATTGTTTAAGAACATGCTATAGATTGAAAGCCTGAAGTCATCAGAGGAGAATATTCCTGAAGTGTCTTCATAATAAAATAATTCGTCAGATTATATCAGTGGTTCCCAAAGTGTGCAACCTTGAGCACCGTTGCCAGAACCTTCCTGTAGCCGCAAGACTCCAAAGTGAAACAAAATCTATTTCTTTTACAGTGGTACAGATACTATTTTTTTGTTTATTGTTTGTTTGTTTGTTTTATTTTTAGTTATTTTCTTCTGACGAACTTTTCTATATGAACGGCATCTCGCCAAAGGAGTTATATGAATTCAGATTATATTTTTGTTCGTTTTGCTTACCTTGTATAGCAGGGGTCGGCAACCTTTTGAGCATAATGTGCCAATTTATAATTAATGCCCTCTTATTAATAACCTTGCGTGCCAGCTTTTTTCAGCACTGTATACCCAAGTGTATTTTCCTGCACATTTTTTTTCTTTGCTCCTCTGAGTCACATAGCGTGCCATACACAAGCGCTCTGTGTGCCAAGTCTGGCATTCGTGCCAAAGGTTGCCGACCTCTGTTGTATAGTATATCAGTACCATAATGTCCTTTCTTAAGTTTGTTTGCACTTAGATTTCAAGTTTAGACTCATCTGGATCGTTATGTTTATCTTTATCAATAATTTTATAACTAATATTATCATTTTCATTGTTATTATTATTAATACTATTGGTATGATTATTATTAGTCTGTGATAATTATTTTCATGTTACTGAGTTTTTACGCTAACCATATGGTCAAGTAAACCTACTCTAATTTTTCTCTGAGCTACAGGGATATATGGAACAGACAAACGCATTCTGTCATAAAAGTAAATTCATGCTGAACAGAGAGCGATGGGGGTAGGCTAAGGAATGGGTGCCACAGAAAGAACTTTTAGATGTGGGTGCCGGCACTGAAAAATATGGAAACCACTGGATTATTTAGAGGGAAGAGATGAAGAAAAGACACAAAGAGAGATGGAATAAAGATAAACAAACACAACAAGAACTCCGGTAGCATTATGATAAGCAAAAGGGCTTCATTCGATTCGCACACGAGTACAATACACAGTGGTTTTGATGCAGGAATGAGTTGGCGGTCTTAAGGATAAATGGAGTGATTGGTTATTAAATGCTTTAGCTTAGAACGAGTGTCAAGGTGTAGATATCAAACTGAAAAGGATTGTTTTACTTGACCTGAATTCAAGAGAAGTAAGCAATAACTGGTAATTTCAGGTTTCAGTAAATATCACTTGATATCTGCATAGACATTCATATTGTCATTACACATATATGCATATATACATACACGCACACACACACACACACACACACACACACACACACACACACACACACATCACACACACACAAATATATACAAATATACATATACAGATATACATATGTGTGTTTGTATCTATAGGTGATCTAATGTGTCTGTTCTGTGTTTATAGGTCTGTCGAGTGTGTGTGTGTGTGTATGTGTGTACGCCTATGTATGTAAGTACGAACATCACAGTGCACACGATCCGGCCACCGCCACCGCAGCCCAAGCGAGCGCCTCCACCACCCCGTCGGGAGCGCCTCCCGCGCGGCCGAACCAACCGTGGTCGTCGTCGGGTGTCGGGCGTCGGGTGTCGGGCGTCGGGAGGGCCGAACCCGACCTCCTACTTCCCGGGGTTCATTCCGCTCTCGATGAAGTGGGAGTCCTCGCCGTTGCCGCCGATGTCGCCGTCGGAGCAAGCGCGAAAGCAGGCGGCACTGCCTGCTCCCGTTGCCGGCGCAGAAGGAGCGGACGGCGCGGGTCGACACGTGCAGGTCCTCGAAGTCCATGTCGGCCTCGAGGGCTTTGGCGAGCATCTGCAGCTCGTGCTCGAGGCTGCGGGGAGGCGGAGGCTGCGCGGTTAGACGGGGCTGTCGGGGGGCTACTGGGGAGAGCGCGTGGGGGGGGGGGGCAGAGGGGGCGTTGCCAGAAAGTCTCGGGGGTTGCTGGTGAGAGAGGATTGGTGCTTGGGGGGGGAGCGTTGCCAGGAAGAACTCGGAAGTTACGAGGGAAGTTGGGGAGTAGGGTTTTACACTGGGGAGATGAAGGGGGGAGGGGTTACTGGTGAGAGAGGGGTACGTTACCGGGAGCGAGGGAGAAGAAAGTTACGAGAGAGGAGGAAGGAGGTTAGGAAGGGAAGGGAGGGAAGCGGGAGAAAATTGCTGTGGGGGAGAGGAGAGGGAGGTTTACCAGAAGGGGGAGGGGAAATGACTGGGGTTATTGGGGAGACCGATAAGGAAAAAAAATCAAGGAGTTACTCGAGAGCGAGGAAAAACAAAGGAGACCCTAGGGAAAATCTCACAGAAAATGGGTCTGAGGGCAGAATGGAGATCAGGGGAGACTAAGCTAAAACATCAAAGAGGAGAAAAATTAAGGGAGATAACCAGAGAGCCAAGACATCAGGGGAGAAAGGGATCACGGTGATAACGCAGGGAGATGAGAGCAGCTTCGGGTCAGCTTAAGGGGGAGAAAAGACGATGGTGAGAAATTGCCTCACTAATTTGAAAAAAAATGAAGGTACGCTAAAGAGGTAACCGTGGGGCGTATGCGAGAGAGAGAGAGAGAGAGAGAGAGAGAGAGAGAGAGAGAGAGAGAGAGAGAGAGAGAGAGAGAGAGAGAGAGAGAGAGAGAGAGAGAGAGAGAGAGAGAGGGAGACAAAAATGTGAAATAATACAGGAATGAACAGGAAAGGAGGTGTCATGATAGGAATATCGTACCTACAAAAAGGGATATAAAAAATCAAAATAATTCCGTTATCCCAAAAGCTAATAAGAACATGCCTCCAAAAAACAAATCAATAAAAAAGCCACACCAAAAAAAAACATTAGTTACATATCACAAGAAGAAAAGAAATCTATCAGAACACACACAGCATATCAAAAGGAAAAAAACATTACTTTCGAATACCGTTTTCTACGTGTCTCAGGAAAAAGAAATTTGGAAACATCGCTAAGCTGAGGGAATGCACGGATGCGAAGAGAAGCGCCCAAGCAAAGAGGCAAAAGATTTCTATTTTCTTTGCCTAAGAAAGCGTTGCTGCTCTTGGCAAAGGAATGGTGCTGGCCGAGGCGTGCTCAAAGTCTTCTTTTTATTTATTAAATGATGTGGGATGTGTGTGTGTGTGTGTGTGTGTGTGTGTGTGTGTGTGTGTGTGTGTGTGTGTGTGTGTGTGTGTGTGTGTGTGTGTGCTTATGTGTGGATCAACGTGTGTGTGGGTATGCCTGGGGTATGTAGACCCGTGTGTACCCAATCCCGCACGTGTACACGCCCAAGGGACCCAGCACCACGCCCCGCCCAAGAGCGTCCCACCACCAAAGCTCACCATGAAAGTCTACTGCTATCTCCACGCCCTCCAGAGCTTCATTGAGCTTCTTCGGAGAGCTCCAAGGAACCTGAGGCTTGGTACTCCCCGGAGGCGACCTCAGCGGCCCTCCTCCTGCGGCCGGGGGAGGACAGGGAGTCCCAGTAGCTCTTCTCGGCCATGGCTCCCACGAGGTCCTTGTAGTCGCAGCCGTGGGAGAGGCCGGCGTTGATGTAGCAGGTGCGTTTCCTGGGGGGCTGGAGGGTTAGAGGGGTCCCGCCACCGAGGCATCTACGACTACGGAAGCTCTACGGCAGTGACTCTCAACCGGGAGTGAAATGGTTCCCTGGGGTTTAAAGGCTTTACATCGCACGGGGGTGAAATCCAGACTCGTTTGGCTCGCTGGTGCTTCTCATGTTTTTGTTACTTGATGCAAAATCTTAGTAAGAAACGTTTTTTTGTTTTTCCTTTCTGTACGGTCTTTAATGCTAAATATTCTTTCTTGTTATTCTACTTCTTCTTCTAATGGGAGGATGAGGATAAATTACAAAAAAAGTTGAGAATCACTGGTCTACTGAGAGATAACAGATAACAGATAAAATGAAGCTACAATAATAATTCAAGTTTCACCATCTAATGAAGTCTAGACATTCAGTAGACACAAAAGAAACAAAATATATAGGTGTCTGAATAAAATGGGTTTCTAGACTAAATAAATAGCCTGAATAAAATTATTAGTTTAATAATTAAGAACCTGAATGATAATAATCATAACTCTAATAAAGATGATTACATTAATAATGATAATTAAAATGTTTATCATGATGGTTCTATATAAAAAGATATTAACAATGATGGTCATGCTAATAACAATAATAATGTTGATGATAATAATACTAGAAATACTGAACATGAAAATGAAGCTAATATTGATACTGAGGTTAAATATATTACAAATAGTTTTGACAGTAAAATTGAAGACAGCATCAACTATAAATCTCCCTGAATCCTTTTGAAAACAAATAAAAAAACGATCAAAACCATAAACACACATCAACAGTCTACCCCCCCCCCGTCCCCTACCCCCCACAAAAAAAGATAAATAAATCAAATAAATCAATCAAAACAATATAAATAAAAACAACAAGGGCAAAAGCAAGACCACCTACCGGATTCTTGATGGGTCTTCAACGGCCGCTGGGATCTCGTGACCAGCTTCGACGACCTTCAAGTTGTTGATCAAACGTCTGATGAGCAGGAACTCGCGTAGCCTCTCTGGTACGCTAGAGAGTTCGCTGTTAAGAGAAAAAAAAATATTGTATCACTACTATTGTGGATATTATGTGTTGCAAGAATTGTTTGGTATACCGTGAGACGTTTGAGGTATGGGTTAGTCCTGGTTAGTGTTGGGGCCATTTGAACGTAGAAAGAAAACGGGATCGACTCTCCGTTTTCTTTTCATTGGAATGGATGGATTTTCTTTTTCAACAACATCGAGAATCATATCGGTGATCTTCAAATTAATTAATCTAAGCACTCAATTTTTCTCTCCTCTTCTTCTCCCCCCTCCTCTTTCCTGCTTTTCCTCCCTCCCTCCTCTCCGCCTCTTCCCCTCTCTCTCTTCTCCTTCGCCTCTTTCTCTCCCCCCTCCTCCTGTTTCCCTCTCCCCCCCTTCCCCCCCCCTTTCCCCCCTCTCTCTTCTCCCCCTTTCCCCTCCCTCCCCTCTCCTCTTGCCACCTGGTGTCGAAACACTGAACTCTGTGAACCTTGTTTTATGCAGATCATTGAAATTATTGAACGCTCTGCCTTGTCAAAGTCTTATGAAGCTTTCGCCGGAGTTCCCCTTACAGGAGATACTTGCAGGTCATATTTATATTCCAACTTGACAATAGACGTTTATTGAAAAAAGTTATACACACACACACATTTATGTATATATGTATATTTTTCTTTCTTTTTATTTTCCTTTCTGTTCGTTTTTTTACCATTCCATTTCGTGCTTTTATTTTGACATCTGACCAGTTTTATAATAATTCTTGTTTTATTTTTACCTTTATGTAAAACTAGCATGGGAAGAGAGAGAGAGAGAGAGAGAGAGAGAGAAGAGAGAGAGAGAGAGAGAGAGAGAGAGAGAGAGAGAGAGAGAGAGAGAGAGAGAGAGAGAGAGAGAGAGAGAGAGAGAGAGAGAGAGAGAGAGAGAGAGAGAGAGAGAGAGAGAAGAGAGATAGAGATAGAGAGAGAGAGCATGAGAAAGAACATGAAAAAGAGAGCGAAATAGACAAATAAGCAAAAGTCAAATCATGTAAATAAAAAAAAAAAAAAGATACATAGAAAAACCGCCCAATGTCTTGGAAAATGTCCCATTGACACGAAGCAATAAGACAGATTAAGATCATTCCAGGAGTAAGAAGATCACCGTGACGTCACAGCCACCCTTATCCCCTCAAGGCTAAATGAGATGCGATATTTTGATGCACTTTAACCTTCTACTCCCCCCCCCTCCCCTCCTCCTCCTCTCTTCTCTACTCTTTTTCCCTCTTCCTCGTCTCATCTCTCGGCTTCTCTTCCTTCTTTATCCTTCTCTCTCTCCCTCTCTTTTTACTCCTTTCCCTCTTCCTCGTCTCCTCTCTCGGCTCTCTTCTTCCTTCTATCCTCTCTTCTCCCTCTCTTTCTGCTCTTTTCCCTCTTCCTCGTCTCCTCTCTCGGGTCTCTTCTTGCTTCTATCCTCTCTCTCTGCTCTCTCCTACCCCTTTCCTCTTCTCTTTTTCCTTCTCTCCGATTCTCCTCCCCTCTCTTCCTGTTTTCTCTCGACTCCCTTCTCCTCCTTTCCTACTCCTCTCTCTCGGCTCTCCTTTTCCTTCTCTCCTTTCTCCTCCTTCCCTCTCTCGACTCTTTGCCCCCCCTTTTCCTCTCTTGATTCTCTTCCTTCCTCCTTCCTCTTATTTTGACTCTCTTCCTCTCTCCTTCCTCTCTCTCTCTCTCTCCTCTCCTCTCCCCTTGTCTACTCTACTCCCCTCAGTCCACCGGTTTAGTGTCTTCCCCTTGCCCTTTTCACTTCTTCCTTCCTCTTATTCATCTCTCTCTCTCTCTCTCTCTCTCTCTCTCTCTCTCTCTCTCTCTCTCTCTCTCTCTCTCTCTCTCTCTCTCTCTCTCTCTCTCTCTCTCTCTCTCTCTCTCTCTACTCTCTCTCTCATCAAAAAATAAAGAAAGAGGGAGATAGAGACAGAGAGAAAAGAAAGAAAAGCAAAACACTCACGGATCTTTCCAGAATCTTCCTCCCCGCCATCACTCAAGGGTGAGGTAAGTGTCCTACTCCGTGAAAGAATTTACTCAAACTCTCCTTCTGCCTATCTTTGCAAGCGGGAAAAAAGTTATAATAACCTATTTACTACAACAGGCCAAAAATGACTACAACAGGGGGGTGGGGAGGGGGGTGTGGTGATGCATAGTCCTTCATAAACTTTCATCATAGGGATATTAAGTAAAGTTATTTTTCTTCTGGAAGTTAGAAGACTTCGTGTATACATGTATGTGTGGATGTGACTGTGTAAGGGCAGGTGTGTATACGCGGCGTGTGTGTATGAGTGAGCTCTGTGTGTGTTTGTTTGTGTGCTTGTGTGTTTGTGAGTGTATGTGTGTGTGTTTGTGCGTGTGCATGTGCCTGTGTATATGCATGTATGAGTACGTGTGTTTGTATGTGTGAATGTATGCCTACGTGTGTGTGTGTGAATGTACAAAAAACTGTAAGTGTGTATGCGAATTTCCAACTCTTCCCATGAATAAGCACCGAGGGTTTTTTTGCACACAAGAGAGGCCTATACTAACCCAGAACCCAATTTTCTCGTCTTTACTAAACGGATTACCAACTTACTCGCCGAAAATCCCATAAGTATTGGAACACCAATTACTCAGTCAGACCACCTCCTTAATAGTGGCTAATACTGCTCTGTCTTGGAGCCTGATTACGGCCAATGTACAACTGATTACCTTTTGACACTGGTTATGCGATAAAGGATTTTTTTATCCTTTTATTATTATTATTATTATTATTATTATTATTATTATTATTATTATTATTATTCCCCCTTTGCCTCTAAGCACATGCATCTTAAGAAAATACTAAGGTAACTAAAGCAGAATGTATTTGATGCTAGTGTGATAATCTAAAACTATCTGATTTTAATTTGTTTATCGTTTTAGTGTCCATCTTAAGAAAAAAACTAATTTGATCAAAATAGAATGTCTTTGATGCTAGTATATCTATTCAGAACCACCTGATTTTAATTTGTTTATCGTTTATCCATCTATGTATCCTCCTTCTTCTCCTCACCCACCTTTACATCATCCCATCACCCCCCCCCAAAAAAAAAAAAAAAAAAAAAAAAAACTTTCCCAAGAAAACACCAAAAAGACGAAGGAAATGCTCTCCTCTATCTCTTCGTTGTCTCCCTGTGTATCTCTCCATTCCTTCCTTATCCCCGCCTACCCGTTCTCTCCTCGCCCTTTTCCTGTCTACCTAAGCTAACTCTGCATGGCGTGTGGCTCGGCATGAATGCCATCCGAGCAGAGGGAAGCCCTGACGCAACCAGCAATGGGGTCTCGTCTCCCCGCTGCTCTGACCTCTGTTGTTGTCTCAGAGCAGTGACACGTAATTGCCGTCTTAATACTAAGCCCTTACATCCCCCATAATGTGATTTTCAACCAATCAGGCTCAGAGATGAGACCCCCAGCTCCCCCCCCCCCGTCTCCTCTCAGTCTCCTTGGGTATCATCCTTGAGATATCACTGTTTTTTTTTTTATCTTGTGGGTGATGACTGACTGTGAAGATTGCTGTGGTATTCGATAGGCTGATTATTCCCGCTTTTTCGATTGATGATTTTTATGTCTTGTCTGTTGTGGACTATCCTCCTTTACCAGGCGGGAACGAGATTTCACTCTGTCGTAACATTGTTATCTTCAGTGTTGCTATGCTTGTTACCGTAACCCGGATATACTCGTCTAGTGTAACAGAGTGCCATGGCATAAAAGAACGCCTTACACGGGTTACAACATGGAACAGGACTTGTAAATTTTAATTCTGATATTGCACCATTTGATATCCCGTCGGCTAGCTTCGCGATTCCGCAATTAAATCTACGGACCCGACGCGCCATGTTTCACTTACACGTGCCAATAGCTTCCTAGCTTGAGGTACAGAGAGCAGTGTGATCATATAATTTCATTTGATCTGTTAAAAAATACATTTATGTTCTGAATCTTTAACGCATTATAGACAAAATTAGATAATTGGGATGGAAGCCTCAATGAAGGAATAAACTAAACCAAACATTCGAAACGGAGGCCAATTGGCGTTCCGCTAATCCGTCGGGTCAATTAACTATCATCAATTCCATGATTTTCGCAGCGATATGACCTGATGTGAAACAAAGACATAAGCAAATACACACATACTCTCACACGCTCGCACACACACGCTTGCACACGCATGCTTCCACATAAACACTCACACACACACGCACACTACGTCAGCGGCTTGGTCTTTCTTTATTATATTTGCAAGTCTTGCATGACCTTGCAGAATCTGCCATTTGGTTTCCTTAATTCTTATATATATTTTTTTCTTTCTTTCTTTTCCTTAATATATCTTGCAATTATTATACAGAATTTCTTTCTCTTTCTCACACTCTTTTTCATTCTCTCTCTCTCTCTCTCTCTCTCTCTCTCTCTTTCTCTCTCTCTCTCTGGCCCATCTGTCTGTCTGTATGCCTACCTATCTATCTGTCTCTCTCTCCTCCCTCCTCTCTCTTCTCTCTCCTCCCCCATGCCTCCTATCTATCTTTCTCCGTTATTCTTCTTCATCCATCTTCTTATTTTAACATCAGTCCCATCTTTTTTAGTCCATCGTATAATTTTCCTCATGCTACAAAATTCTTAATAGTTTTTTAAAATAATTATCATTATCTATCGTCCGTATTTCTTTTATTTTTACTGTTATCAGAATTTATCATCTATCGCTCTTGACTCACATTCGATATTTCATTTTCTCTTTATTATCTACTTTGCTATCTTTTCCGATTATTAGTTTTCTATTTATCCCTTTTTTCTCCATATTTCCTATTTCTTCATATTATCATTCTTCACCCTTATCTCTATTTCTTTCACTCCCTTTCCCTCCCCTTTCACCCATTCTCTCCCCCTTACTTTTCTCCCTTTCTCCTGATTCCTTCATTTTCCGTTTCTTCGTATCCTTAATTTTATCATCAATGTTGTTATCATTTTTATTATCCTTTGTTGC